TTGAAGATTGTAAACATTGATCATGCAAAATTGTCCTCTGAGAGACTCGAACTCTCGACCTCAGGATTATTTAGTAGCCAATGCTACCTCATATTTCTATGAGACCTGCGCTCTAACCAACTGAGCCAAGAAGACATGATATTTCGTATTCTGTGCTCTTCCTCGATTCGGTGTCCTCGGCTTTCTTTACGTCGTACGTATTGTGCTGCGCTCTGCAAGGTCCTTATGACTGCCAATGGGAATAAAATAACATGGAGGCGCAAGTTTATGAAAAGATCTATATTGTGGCTTGACGTGATGGCACATCAGCAATTTTACATAAACCTTTGCGGCACTTGCAACAGTTGGTGCAAGCCAAAAAAAAGTCCAAATACTGAACCGTCAAATAGTCAGGTCATTTGACCAAAAAGCTGAAATTGGCATTCAGCGGATTGATGTGGCGCTGTACCCATATATCTTACCATTCATCCAGGTTCAATATAGGAAAAAAGCAGTGAGCCTCCTTGTCTTCATTGAGTTTTCTGCATCACATTTTGGATGGTTGGATGGGGGAGGGGAAGCCCTGATGTAGACGAGTTTCATTGATCATGCGCTTATGATTTACTTCAGTTACACAGATGCAACGCAAAAATAAGAGAAAAGGATATGCCCTGGGATACTACACGAACACTACGCTATCACGAATTCATCTTTTCTAACGGATTAATAATCATACCAGGCTGCGCCACAAAATGCGTCAGTAATCATCCGATATTCGATCAGTAGCATAAGCCATACCTTCTTCACAACCTTAGGCAGAGTTCCCCTCTGGAAGGCAACCCTGGTATTCCACTCTGTACCCAGAGGTCGCTCCATGGCCTTCTCAAACTGGGCCTTGCTGGTATACGGGTACGGCAGATCCTTGACGAGGTATTTCGCCGCCTTTTTATCCCGCTTCTCTGAGATGATGACATGCGCCTTGCCGTAATCCGCACGAGTGGTAGGATCGATACCGGCTATCTTCTTTATCCGCTGCGCTTTGGGCGGTGCAGCGCGTACACCTGCACCTCCCCAAGAGCCCTGTCGAAGAGAGAAGGAAGGGCCAATCAGACCGCGCCCAGATAATGTACAAATAAAGCTTACCCAGCCTGGGATCGTCGTGTCAACCTCCCGCGGTGCGTCGGCGGCAATTTCGCGTTTCTTGGCTTCTTGGAATTCCTGGGGCAAATGTTAGAATGCTTCTGGATGAAGATGGTTGCAACGACCCACATGAACGACATTGTCCCCCGCAAAAGCGAGGGCCACCAGATCCCGCTGCTCAAAGGCCTGCGGGAGCTTCGCCTTCCCTTTCCCTTTGAGGTCCAAGATCTTCTCCTGCTCTTCAATTTCGCTGTGCACATCGTCATCGTCGCTCGCATCCTCTTGACGCGCAGCAACCGAGGACGTCGACGGCGCAGTTGCCTTAGGAAGCGTAGCAGACGCCTTTTTGGGAGGGGGAGCAGAGACAGTACTCGACTGGGCTGCTGCTGGGGCGGATTTCAACGTCAAAACTTTGTCAACCGATATTTCCACGACAGCGTCATCAACAGCCTTGGCCTTCTCGTCTCCCCTCTTCCGCGCGAGCTTCTTGAGCTTGTTCTTCGACTTAGTCATGACAGTGCTGTCCTTGCCCACCACTACCTCGTTGTTCTTTTTGGGTGCCTTGATAGACGTGGGTTCTGAATCGCGAGGAGCGAGCCAGGGGTTAGAGTCAGAGGTTGGTGGAAGCGGAACATTGGGACGCTGGAGGTCCAGCGGCGACTGAGGTGGGGAGAGAAGATCGGTGGATTTGAGGGTGACACTCGACGTGTCCGAAGCTAGTGAGCCTATTGGCCGCGTTGTTTTATTTGTCTGGAATTCTAATCAGCAATAACTCATCGACAGGACGGATGAGAAACATACCGGTGCGCCTGGATGATACGATATTCGCCCGCCAGTCCGCTGGGCAACGACGCCGCTAGAGAGATCGACCTCAGGTGCGTCCTCGACGTCACTATCCTCCGCAACATCTAGTTGGCCTCCCATCTCCTTGATGAAGTCATCGGCCATTTTGTCCGCAGAGTGCTGTTGCCGAGCCATAGCATCCTTCATAAACTTCATCTCGAAGATGCTCTTGCTCTTGCCTTTTCCACCGCCCTCGATCTGCAAACTGCCATCCTCCATCTCCACCCTCCGAAGCTCGTCGAAAGCCCCTCGTTTTATCTTCCCAATATTGTCCTCTGCATCATCCCCGAAGCCTTCCTTGTCATCGTCAGTATCCTCGTCACTCTCATCATCGCTAGCCACCCCCTTGATCCTCCGCCTTAGCTTCTCCCCCCTGGCAAGCATATCCTCGATCTCCTGTCGCCCCTCCTCCCCCTCCCTCGTCCGCATCTTCTTCGCCCACTTCCCCGTATGCTTATGTCGAAGCGTCGCCCTCTCCCTCGCCCGCTCAACCTCCCTCTTCAGCCTCTCCTCCTCTCCCTCGCTCCCTTCCCCATCCTCCATCTTCTCACCCAGCCTCTCCCGCTCCTTTCGTTTGATCTTGCGGTATGTCTTGCTCTTGATCTTCCCGATCCGCCGCGCCTTGATCTCGGCGCGGAACATGAGTTCCCGCATCTTCCGCAGCTCTCCGCGCCGCTGCTCGACCTCTTCTACCGAGAGCTTGTTCATCTTCAGCATCGTCTCCTCTGTCTGCTGGATGTCTTCTTCTCGCAGCTTGGCGGATCGAAGAAGCGCGTCGACCGAGCTCTCGAGAGCTGTCGTAGGCTGAGAGTGTGTTTAAGTCGTTATTGAATGTGACAAACACGAATAATGATTACCTTGAATTTTGCCGCTAACGTGAGGTTAGACACTCGTTCCGCGGTTGGTGCTTGCAAGGGGAAACTCAAGTGCTCGGCCTGGGTAATATGATCAGATGGCAAGAACAATATTGTGGGACCATAAACCGCACCTCTCGAATCCTCTTCATGGTGGCGGACCATTTGTCAACTTCACCCTTGGTCTCTTCGTAGGCAGCTTCTCGATCAAGGCGTTCCTGGGCTCTTTGGGGAAGAGGCGCAGACAAGGTCTTCACTTTTGACGAGGATGACCCCAGAGCTTTTGTTGATTGTTTAAGTGACTGTAGCGTCGACGATTGGGACGCTAATGGCGCAAGTAGGTCGTCAAGGTTGAGCTTCGAGCCTGAGAGGAGATAAGGATAATTCGGGTACTATTGAATACAATAAAAACATACCGGACGATTGAGCGCGGAACTCGTTTTCGGCACCTGCTTCTGTACGCTCCTTGAGGTTCAATCGACGCTGCTTTCGCGTTCTCTCTGTGCCTAATATTGGAGCATCTCCATCAATGGCTTTGCGCTTTTTCGCTGTGGGGTCGAGAGTTGAGATCAAGTTTTGTAGTTCGTCGAGAGCTTCTGGTTCCGCGTCCTCAGAATCAGATGGAGAGAATTCCATTTTTTCTTCAGCCTCTGAGTCATCGTCGGCAGATTCGTCTTCATCCATCGCACTCGCATCGTCCCCTGCTCCACCTTCGTCCTCGTCCTCATCCATGTCGCTTGGCCGGCTTCGAGTGATACCACTGCGTTCTGATGATTTGGCGGGGGCTGCACCGTCGTCTGCGTTGTCCATTTCTCCTCGCCCATCTAGCATATCCAGGACGTCTATAAACTCGTCCGGGTCGCCTTCCTCCTCCTCCTCCTCCTCGTCGTCTTCTTCGTCGCCAGATGGGCCTTCTGCTTCCTCGCCCTCCTCCACATCCTCGTCCTCATTCAAGTCCACCTCCGCGAACTTCACACTCGGCTGCTTCTTCGTACGGACCTTCTTCTTGTCCTACGAAAGATTAATACGCGGTTTCAAAAAATATTCAGACACTCACTTTTGCCGAGAAGAAACCCGCAAAACGCTCCTCGTCGCTCTCTTCAAACGCAGCATCACTGTCAATTTCTTCGTCGTCCTCACTGTCAATCATCTCATCGTCCCCGTTCTCTCCAATCAAACGAGCCCGTAATTCCTCCCGAGCCTCGTTGTCCCCGTCCAGACCAACACCGTACTCAGCAGCTTCGTCGTGATCCAGATCCAGAGCCACTTTAGACCGGCGAGTTGCCTCGGGAGCATATTCATAGACATCAGCGCCCAGTCCGTTGAGAGTTTTCGCCTTTTTGGAGTGTCTTTTGGCGTAACCAGCAGCGTTGGCCTTACTATTCGATGGTCTGGGTTTTCCAGGCCTCCCGTTTGAGCCACTAGGCCTGCTAGTTCTGTTGGTTTTAGCCATGCTGAAGCCACGGTCTAGGTCAACGGGTCAACTCAAAAAGTATTCGGGAAGAACCGATAAGATCATTGCAGGAAATTATGTAATTATTTTCTATTTCCAAGCCATGTGCTCTGCGGCACTCTTTCTGCGTCTGCAGTTCTCGGTAAATTCTGCCGCGACCAAGGGGAGTATAGGCACTGTTGACCTCATAAAGTTTCTTCACTTCTTGAAATAGGCTATTGAGAGCTAGGCATGTATTGTCTCCTGTCTTTCGAGGTCGCTTCGCAGGTGCTTCTCACATCCCAATCTGTAGTTACAAATGCTCAACCGGAGGCACATACGTATATATTCCGAATAGTTCTATTTTGCCACACACACCTTAACAGCGAAGCTCTTCGGGGCTCTTATGGTAGTCCCATATTATAAACAAGGGACGGATCTTGCCTTCGACATAAGAGTATGCTTCGATGAACTTGAGAATGCCTTACGCGATGCAACAACAGACTTTGCCTCGTTTGATTCCACGCATGCTTACTGGGGCGCGACTGAAGAATCTTCACGCGTGTAGTCCCCCATCAGGGATGCTGCCTCAATTGGAATATCATACATCGCGGCTTGATCGCGATGTCACCACCTTACGATTCCCCTATTTCAATGCTCTTGCCAAGGTCACTTCAGTGAGACTTTCTTGCCTTTTTCACTCTACGATCTTGCCCCATTTTATTAGTTCATCTCCTGGTAACGTCCTCTTTTGATTTGCTGTGTACTTCATAAATTTTAGCAGCGAGAGAATGACTGCAAAGAGGCACTGTGATAAAAGCAAATATATATATAACAAACCATTAGCTGAGTCAGTAAAACTCGCTTCCGGGCGCAAAAGGGCGCAA